CTTGACTGGTGAAAATTCCCAGGCACTGTAAAAATAACAGAACACAGCCCAACCAGCCAGTCAGTCCTGGTGCCAGGTATCCTACTTAGCTTGTAAAAACTGTGTAAGTGAATTTGTTTTGGCTGACTGTGGTGCTGCATGTGTGTAATCCCAGCACTTTGGAGGCTGAGGCAGAATTGCAGTGAGTTCAAGGCCAGCCTGAACTACAAAGTGAACCTTGTCTCAAAAGACACACATGCACACACAATTTTTTTTTAATGGTGCTAGACATTGAACCCAGAGCCTTAAAGCATGCCCAGCAAGCACTCTATTACTGAGTTACATACCCAGCCCAATAAATATCTTTTAAATCTAAATTACCTAATTTTGTAAAGCCACCTATCTTAATATGATGCCCAGTACTTCTTCAGAGAAATAAAAACTTCTCTGCAAAGTCACACATTTAAGTACTTGTTGCCTGTGGACAGATACAGAGTCCAAGTATGGAGGTAAATCAGCAGTTCAGCAATGCAACTGGGAGTCTCTGGCTGCCTCGTCAGCTCTGCTCTGGCTGTGTCCCAGCAGTGACCATCAGGTGACATCATCTTGCAGAGGGTGTGAACTCCAGCAGCTGCTCGATGGGTTTAGATCGCCACTCATCAGCCTCCAGCTCTTCTACCAAACCAGCTAGTTTCTCCATCTGAGCAACTTGTTGATCGTGCTTCACCTGCCTGAGCGTGGATGCCACCTGGTAACTGAACATAGACTCACAGAGGAATCTTTCAGAGCCATCTTCAAGCATCTCCCCAGCCCCTTTAGGGTAGTTGAAAAGGGCTTTCCGTGGTGGGGCAAGGTCTGAGACAATGAATCCAGATCCAGAAACGGAGCTTCCACTGACGCCTCCAGCCGAGGAGGAGGAGGAGGAGGAGGAGGAAGAGGCAGCCATTCCCTGTGGCAGAGTTCTACCTCCCCTTGGCGGCTTTAGTAGTGTCACTGGCAACCCCGCCCCCCCAGCGCCGGGCAGCATGGTTGCGCTCACAACGACGACCCCAATTTTATTTGTTGATATTGGATTGTTTAGAATTTTTATATCTTCTTGATTCAACTTTGGTAATTCATATGTATCCAAGAACCTACCTATTTGTTCTGAATTTTCCTTCATACTGGAGTACAGGCTCTCAAAGTAGGTGTTGATGATCTGGGTATTCTTTCTTTTTTTTTGAGACAGGGCCTCACTGTGTAGTTCAGAGTGGTGTCAAATTTACTATGTAGCACTGGATGACATCAAACTCAGCATCCTCCTGCCTCACCCTCCCCAGTGCTGAGATTATATATACACACTACTATACCTAGATGATCTAGATTTTTGCAGGATCTGTTGTGGTTTCACCCTTGTCATTCTTTATTGCATAGATTTGGTTTCTTCTTTCCTTATTTTGAGGAGTTTGGCTAAAGGTTTGTCTATTTAATCTTTCAAAGATCCAACTCTTCAACTTACTGATATTTTTGGTATTGTTTTCTTAGTGACATTGCATTAATTTCTGCTTTGATCTTTATCATTTCCTTCCTCATATGGGCTTTGAGTTTTGCATGTTCTTTTTCTAACCCTTGCAGTTCAACATTACATTATTTGAGCTCACTCTTTTCCTGACATGGGAATTCCCCACTATAAATTTCCTTTATAGGACTGCTTGTATTGTATCCTGTGAGTTCCAGAATGTTGTGTTGGTATTATCATTTAATTGTACAGACTATCTAATTTCTTCTTCAATTTCATCTGTGATCTATTGGCTGTTCAAGGGGGTATTATTGGTGGGGACGTAGCACCACACGCAGTACAGTGCCAGCCTGGCAAACACAAGGCTCTGAGTTTGATTCCTGGAACCAAAAAAAGAGGGTTTTATTTAATTTTCATGTGTTTATATGGTTTTTGTGGTTTCTTTTGCCATTGATTTTCAATTTCATTGTATTGTGATCTGACATTATGCATGGGATAATTTCAGTTCCTTTGCCTTCACTTAAGAATGTTCTATGAGCTAGTATAGAGTCTGTTTTGTAGAAAGTCCCACGTACAGCTGAGAAAAATGTGTATTCTGATGTTGTGGGGTGGAACACTCTGTGGACATATACTAAGCTTATTTATTCAAGGGTTTGGTTCAACTCCAGTATTTCTTTGTTTTTGTCTAGTTGATCTATTTGTGAAAGTAGGGTATTAAATTCCCCTGTTACTACTGTTATTAGTATTTATCAGATTTTTCATGTCTCCTAGTGTTTGTTTTAAACAGTTGGGTACACCAGTACTAGGTGTGTATATATATTTATGATTGTTATCTCTTTCTCTTGGATTATCTCCTTTAGAAGGATGTAGTGACTTTGTCTCTTCTGAAAGGAGAAAACAAAGATTAAAAACAAAGCAAGAAATTAGAAACAATTTGCACACACATAAAAAATGAAAACCAGCAATCCAAAAACAAATGAAAAGGCAAAGAAGAAAAAAAAAATGTCTCTGTGGTTTGAAGCCTACGGTTATATTTTGAGGTCCAGTGTTCTGTGCCAGTGTCTAATTCAAGGCTTGACTCAGCTTTCCCTGGTAGACAAGGGAAGCAGTCAGAGCCTGATCCATGTTGGAAAATCCCAGCAAGCTGGCAGTGGAGCTAGGGCAGGGTGCTGGTCTGGGGCTTCTAATCCATGTGGGGAAGGCCCTGCTTTGTTTAGCTTATAACACTCTGGGTGTCTCTTGCCAGCCTGACCATGGCTCTCAGACCCTGGAAATCTCTATGGGTGTTCCTCGCCCAGTCACTGTGAGAGGTTAACACTGGGGGCCCTGAGGTGAGGCCAACCCGTGGCTATTCAGAGTCCCTTGTTCAGGTGGCCCCTCCCTAGAGGGGGTCCAACCGGGTGTCCTCTGTAGAGGACACAGCAGACGCTCAGGCTGGACTCGCTTACAGCTGCGGCACTGCACAGCATCCATTGCTCCATGTCACATTTCTGCTTGGAGGCCTCTGGAGTAATTTGCTTCCACCATGTTTCCTGGAGAGTTGCTCTTCTTTTCTCTTACCATGAACCAGGAGCAAGGGAGAAAGCGCAGATAACCCCTTCCTTTTTCTCTGTTGAGGTCTGTCTGTTCACTGTCTCTGTGTGCTCCAGTGTTCCTTCAGGTCCTTCTTGAGTTGCAGGGACCACTCCCTCCTGCTTCTCTACCCCGAGTATTTATTTCGCAGTATCTGGATTCTGGATGTTGGAGAGGCTGACTGCTTGCTGCTTCCCTAGCCCATCATTTTTTGTGGTTATTGTTGCAGGCCAAAAGACAACTTATTATTCTTTATTTTTATCCCATTCTTCCGGTGTCTGTTAGGAAGAGTCCCATGGAAAGGGTGGTACTCTAGACTCCGTGATTGTTTTGTTCATTAAATATCAGAAAGCTTTGACCACCAAGACTTGGACTGAGGTGCACACGGGGAGAACTTTAGAGTAGGAAACTGCTTTAAATGGAGTATATTTTAGAAGTAAAAAGAAAGCTTGTCGTAAGGCAGATGGCAGTAAAGGAGGTTTAGGAAACTATGTTTGTGGATGCTGTGCACATGCATGGTGGGAGGCAGTCATGAAATAAACCAAAAAGAGCTAGGAAAACAAAAGACCAACTCCCTGTGGTAGGGAAATGCACACAGAGCCTACAGGTGGGGACCACTGAGTTGGAGGATTCGGCAGACCAGTAGGGCTAGCCTATCTTTACCAAATTTGAGTGCTGGATTGAACAGGACAGAATATTACTGTCTTATTATTTTCATGTCCCCAGTTTGCTTTTCCTTATTTCTATCACCCAGTACTAAGTACACACCTTCACTTTTCAAGTTTTAATTTGCAGGAATTGTGAGCTTCCAGCAGTAGGGGACATGGAGTGTGTTTGTATTTGGGATTTGAGGCAGTTCAAGGAGGGGGCTCTGTGTACTTCCTGGCAGCTCTGTTGAACAGGTTAAGCATCCCATGGATGGGCTGCGAGTTGGCCGGAGGCTCCCTGTGTGAGCCTCAGAGTGACCTGTGCTGAGGTGTCTATGTAGCCCTTCACTTCTCCCTTACTGGAAGCAGCTGCAGAGGAAGCCTAGGAAATCTTTGCTCACAAGAATTGCGGGCAGCTGCTCGCTGACCCTTGACCTGCACACTTTTGGGAGGAGCAGAACGATTTTCATTTCTCAGAAAGCTGGTGCCTGGGTCCAGTACTGGCAGCAGGGCCGGAGGCTGTGTGCAGGCCACTCACGCGTGGTGCGGCAGCCTGAGGGGTGGGCTGTGGTGTGAGCAGGGAAGTGAGGGAGGCCTGTCCTCTGTTGGAAACCTGGATCACGCCTGGCAGGGACCTGCTCTGCCTCACAGCTCTGACCTGACTCCTTTGTGTGTTTCACTGTGGCGGGGGATGAAAACCGCACATGAAAAGGATTTTTTTTTTTTAAAGAGGAAAATTGAGTTCAATCCCCGGTACCACAATAAATAAATAAATAAATAAGGAAAGTCATAAGCGGTGCAGGGGCTCATGCCTTTGATGGGTTGTCCATGTTCCCACACATTTCTCACTTTTATCAGTAGAGGTCCTCTCCTTCTCTCCCTCCCCTCTTTCTGCTGTGCAGGACTGAAGCCAGGGCCTTGCTGTCCTCACTGCAGAATCTGCTTTCCCAGCCCCTGTCCTCTTAGAAAAACATTTTCTCGGGGCTGGAGAGATGGCTCAGTGGTCTAAAGCACCTACTTAGAACAAGCTT